CATGATTAGAGTTGTTTATAAAAATATTCTTGAGTAGAAAAGACTTCTAGCATAACATCGAATCTAGAAAAATAAAGAAAAAAGTTAGCTATCAGATTACATATAAGTATTAAACTTCCATATAACTATCATAAACTAGCTCAAAAACAGGTGGGAAAACAGCATAACATGTACAACAGATTAAAGTATGATTTCTTCCGTACACTAAGAGCTCAGATCTTATCAAACTGATATAGGACCTCCAAATGATATACGGGAAATATTATAAATCCCAGCCTGTTAGATGTCAGATATGCCAAGTTTGTGTTCTCCAAAATCAAAGAATAAATTCTAGGAACAATGAAGGTTAAGGATAGGAAATTTTACTGAAAGAGAGACAACTCCTGAGACAGACAAGAAGGGACACAGAAAATGGTTTGCCAATGAGCCCACTTCTCAAAGGAAGTTTTATAGAGCAAAATCATGAGGTGGGTACAATGGGGGAAAAAACTATGATCAACCAATAAGATTACAAGTATAGCCACTTAAGGAATGTTGATCCAATGGGGGAGCAAATCATGTAGCAAGTGTACATGGAAAGAACAAGGACCTTTTTTGGAAGAGATGAGTCAGGAGGTCCTGGTCACCCACCTGGATGACTGATGCCTATCTAGACTTCATTAAACCAGGTAATATCGATTATAGTATATTGCTTATCCCTTGGAGAAGTGTGTAGGTCTAGTCATTCAGTCTTTATCTTGAGGCCTAGCCTTCAACGATTGCATGTCCAGCCACAGTTATAATATGTTCTAAACTCCTTTTTTTTTCTTTTTTGTCTTTGTGAGACAGGGTCTCGCTATGCAGTTCAGGCTAAACTTGAGCTCACTTTGTAGCCCAGGCTGTTCTCAAACTCACAACGATCCTCCTGCTTCAGCCTCCTCAGGCGTGCCCCACCACACCCAGCCCTATGTTCTTAACTTCTGCACTGAATCTTTTGAAGGCCTAGCCCTGTCTGACTGCCTCTGAATTTTTACCTAATTTAGCTGTCTACAATAAAAATGAACAATAATTTTTTTAAAAAAACAACCAAAAAATATGAACTGGCAATATAAACACAAACAAAAATAACCACTAATACAAAAAAAAGTTCAGCCTCAGTTATACTTAAATATATAAACATTTTTAAAAAAATAATGTTTTCCACTTCGCATACTGGCAAATACAGTAATACCTGGGTTCACTAACATTTCTTTCTTTTCTTTTCTTTTTTTTTTTTTGAGACAGGGTCTCACTGTACAGTTCAGGCTGGCATTGAGCTCACTTTGTAGCACAGGCTGACCTCAAACTTGCAAGGATCCTCCTGCCCCAGCCTCCTGAGTGCTGGGGTTACAGGTGTGTGCCACCACACCCAGCAACACTTCTGTTCACAAATAATTCAGTTCACAAACAGAAGCTTTCTGCAAAATTTTGCTTCCATTTTTGAACTCTGCGCTGAGTGAACAATGTAACTGTGGCCACCTTCCCCGTATCAACATGAACATGGCCATCTTCCCCAGGGTCATGGAAAGAACTGTGAGCCACCACACTACTGTATATCAAAATACACAATAACTAGTCTTGATAATTAAAGAGGAAATACCATTTTTATACACTATTGGTATGAATATCAAATTTGTGCCAACTCTTTGGTAATTAGGCAATGTCTGATTCAGAAATTTCATTTGCTATTATTTTTCTTGAGATGTGTGTTAAGGGGTGCGTCTTAGTCACTTTCTTCATCACTGGGCTATGATATCCAACACCCACAACTTTAAGGACCTTATTTTGGTGTAAGGTTTCAATCCATGGTTGGCTGGCTCCAGTACAGAAAATGTGTGCTGGAAGGGCGTGACAGAGGAAGAGGTGCTCAACCCACGGGAGCCAGGAAGCAGAGATGAGAACCCAGAGACAAAAATACACCATGTAAGTCATGTTCCCAGTGACCAGCCTCCAACCAGACCCCTCCTCCTACCAGCACATTCAGCTACCAAACTCATCAGTGATCCAGTGACCTTCCATAGACACGAGAATTTGGGGGACATTTTAGATCTAAACCAGAACATTGGGCCCCTGGCTCCCAAAACACTCTTCTCAGTATCATTATGCAAAATGTAATCAGTTCATCTCTAAGAGTCACCAAAGTTTTAAAAGTTCCAATATTGCTGAAAAGTCCAAGTCCAAAGTCTCCTCTGAGACTTAAAGCAAACTCTTAGTTGTGAGCTCTTGTAAAAATCAAAAAGAAAGTTAAATACTTTCAACATTCAGTGGCACAGGATAAACATTCCCATTCCAAAAGGGAAAAAGAGGTGATAAGGAGAACAAAATCTTGGGGAATTAAAATTTGAGAGCAAAATGGCTGGCTCCCACAAAACAACTGTCTAACCAAGCCCCATTCTGCCCTCATCCCCACCCCCTATAAAGAAACAACAAAAGATGCTCGGGGTGCCTATCTCCTCTGAGTCCACTGGCATAATAAACTAGTTCCCTCCACCTTTCTGATAGCCTTTCAGTTCTTTGGTGGTAACAGGTTTACTGCAACAGAGGGAGACAGGAAGAAATGAGAACAAAGCAAGACAAAAATCCTGCAGGACAAATATTAAATCTTGTACTTCTGTGTACAGCACCCATGGCAATTTGTAGCAAGAAGTGAACTCTAAAGGAATCAGGCAGCCCTGCCCTTCCAATTGCAACCCACATGGTTTCTCTGTTCTAGTGATTCCTCTCACTGCCAGAGGCTTTCCTCAACAGAAGATTTACATTACCAGCAACTTCAACTTCCTGGGGCCTCCACTGCACTTTTGGCTTTATTCTCAGAGATTCATACAGAGACCTCTCAGGAACACATTCCCTGGCCTACAAGGCCTTCTTCTGAAAACTGGATGGAAGCCTCCCTGACTAAATAACTCTTGCATTCTGCACACCAGTAAATTCAGCACCATACTGAAAATGCCAAGGTCTGTGCTACCTTGAGTGGTAGCCTGACCCCTTTGACTATAGCTGCTGCAACCTCTACTCAGAGGTTGGATGGCTGAGCATTGTGAAATGAATCACAGGGAACCAATTTCCAGGGCTGCTCTGCTCCAGCAGAGGGCCTAGGGCTGTCTTCTCAAATGAAAGCTTTACAGTTTGTACCCTTGAACTTGCAAAGGTGCAGTCTTGCTGATCCGAGATGCATTCAAGCTCTTTCCTATTGACCCAGTGCAAAGTACTTAGCTTGCTTTTAGTCTTTTTTTTTTTTTTCTTCACTGTTTTCTTTTTTGGTACTGGAAATCAAACTCAGGACCTGGCACTTGCCAGGCAGGCGCTGCACCGCTGAGCTACATCCCCAGCCCTTTAGCTTGTTTTTAATGTGAATCTTTCTAGCAACCATACTTTCCATAGTCTCATCTGCAGCTACTTCCTTTTGGATAAAACTGCAAACCTTTAAATCATTTAACTGCCATTTGCTCCTGATTCTCACTGTAGATCTTGCTTAAAGTAACAAGCACGAATCATACTATAACCTGAATATTAGACACCCCTTGAAATTTCCTCCACCAGATTAGTCTACTGCCCTTAATTTCGGTTTTCCACAAAGTCTCAGGACATGGGCAAAAAGTAGACCATAGCACACATGGCCTCTAATCCAGCTGCCAATGGAGTCCTTGTTCCCACCTGAAACCTCTGGAGCCTGGATTTTACCATCTGTATTTCTTTCAGCATTCTGCTCTACTGAGCTCTGACCAGACTTTCCCATCCAGCTCAGGTTACAGCATTCTAGGGCTTCTCTTGTTAGATCTCCAAACCTTACCAAATTTCCTCCTATAAACCTAGGTTCCTAAGGCTTCTGAAACAGGTAGTTAAGTACAGTCACAGCAATTGTCCCATTCCCAGTACCAAAATCTGTCTTAGTCATTTCCACATCAATACCCAACACCTACAACTTAAAGCAGGAGAGATTTATTTTGGCTCATAGTCTCATCCAGAGTCAGCCGAATTCAAATCAGAAATGGCACAGTGGATAAGCTGGCAGAGGAAAAGGTGCTCGCCCAATGGCTGCTGAGAAGCAGAGAAAGAAGGGAGAAGCCAGAAAGAAGAACATGCTCTTCCAAGTCATGCACCCAGTGACCACCTCTGTCTTGGTTACTTTTCTCTCGTGGCTGAGACAAAATACCTGATGCCCACAATTAAGGAAGGAAAGGCTTATTTAGCTCACAGTTTATGGAGGTTTCAGTCTATACTCAGCTGGCTCCGAGGCAGAGTGGCACATGGCAGAGAGCAACAGTTCATAGTGGCAGAAGACAGCAAAAACAGCAAGAGCAAAAGGGAGGAGTACCAGCAGGGAAAAGCAAGCCTCTTTCCCTCCCTTATATTGTATGCAGGCTACCCACCCCAGGGCAAGTGTAGCACTCACACCCATAATCCCAGCATTGCACCACGGATCAATCATAAACTCTAGAAGCCCGCACCCATGACTGCATGAAGATTTGAGGGGACATTCAGACACAAACCACAGCAACCTCCAACCAGCCCTCACCTCGTACAAAACATTCAGCTATGAACTCATCCATGGGTTAATCCACTGATGAGCACAGCATCCCCATAATCCAATCATCTTTCACAAACATGAGAATTCCAGAACAGGATTTTTTTTGCAGCACTGCTTATCACAGCAACTCAACTATAACATTATCAATAGTCATATTAGGAGGGGCTATGTAAATCATAGTACATTCTTAAAATATAATGCAAAATATGTGCAACCATATTATAGAATGAGTTGGTTACTCTTGAAGTTATATTATAAACATATTTTTAGGTAGGAAAAACAGCAATCCTATTTGCATAAAGAAAAAATGTACACGTTGTCACTTCGGATTTTCAGCCCAAAAAACTGAAATGTATTTAGAAAAAGGTAACTTTCTCTCTGTAAAACTAGCTCTTGTGTCTCTATGAAATTCTTATTTGACTAAGTAAAAAAAAGAAATTGATGTCCTACTTACCCTAGGGCTATATTTAAGTTCCATGGAGGCTTGGAAAAGTTGGAAAGGCTTCAGGATCTAGCCACACCGGCATCCATTGGTCATCTTTTCCTTGCATCTGGTTTTCCTGATCATTTCATCAAGGCCTGATATTAGGTGGCACCCACCAGTACAGAAATAGAATGTTTCTACCAATTGTTAAAATTGTGGAACTCTTCTACACCAGGCAGTGAACAGAGCACCCCCACCCCAGCACTCTACCCCACCCACCGAACCCAGCTACTCCAACTCTCCTCCCTCTTGGGAGCTTCTCATAACTGCCCCACTGTCTGAAGATTGCCAGACCCAGCAGGTCTTCCAGGAACCTGCCCCAGAGACACAGCCAGCCAGGGTACATGCCCTACCACTGCCAAATATTACTGAATGTTCAACCCCTCAAAATAACACAAAAATAATCCATTGATAAGAAAGACCTAGGCTAATTGCTTACTGCAGTATAGAGAACACTACCTTAGTGGGGAGATGAAGGATTAGTAGCAGTGATTTGGAGTTTAAAGAATAGGCAAGGTATTTATGGGACTTGGGGTTTGGGATTTAAGGCAAGTCTTCCAATAAGAGGATGGATTGTTGAGAACAGATTATGATGTAATAATGAAGTATTAGTATGTACAGCAAAGTAAATCTTGAGATAAGGGCTTTAAACAGTCCTGGAATGTAAAATGTCATTTGATACTATTAAATACTTAGATAGTTACTTAAATGGGTATTTTTGGTGTTTTGTTTGTTTGCTTGTTTTGGTCTTTTTGTCCGAGTTTCACTATGCAGTTCAGGCTGGCCTTGAACTCACTTTGTAGCCCAAGCTGGCCTCAAACTCACAGTAATCCTCCTGCCTCAGCCTCCCGAGTGCTGGGATTACAGGTGTGCGCCACCACAGCCAGCTTCACTGGAGTGGTTTTTAAGAAATTTTTGAAATAGACAATGTAGTTGTTTATAATTTATCTTTCTTGTGTTTCCTGAGATAATAGAGCTACACTGATGAAAAAGATAAAGTAGAAAAATTATGTTAATGTACAAGGCATGTTGTTTCTACATTGATTGTTTCAGTTCTGGGTTCTTTCTTAAGCCTGAGCTGACGAGTGGATCCCTTAATAAAGCACGGTCAGTTCAGACCTTCACCATTCCTTGAGTAGACACAATTGTACATCATGTTTCTGGAGATGATCTCAATATTATCAATGTCAAATTTTTCTATTCTGTTGTTAGATAATCAATTATTGGATCATTTGATGGGTCAGTGACTGTACAATAAGACTTAGAATATTACTCATCTGAATACTGCAGGGCAAGAAAAAGGTTATGTTAAGAGCTTTTAGTCAATATTTCAAGCAAAAGCCAACAGCACTCAAATTAAACAGAAAAAAATAGATCTCACCCCCATTCTAAAGCCTGCAGAGCCAACTATGGATGATTAGCCAATTTACCTAATTTTGTAATTTCTTAGTTTGCTTCCTGAAGCTTTTTAATAGCATTAAAGATCTCAGAGAGTCTGCAGTAATGTAATGATAACATTCTTCCTTAAAGACATTATAAGACACCCTAAAGAGGCCAACATTTTATCTGAAGTGCTCCATACTGAACCAAGGTCTTCCAATTCCACAAACCTCTTACACACAAAGTTCTATATCTTTGGCATAACTGTCTAGCTCTCTCTGCACCATAGCATGCAGTGTTTCCCTACCGTCTAGACCTCTTGAAACATGAAGTAACAATATTTAAAGAGAATGAAAGATCAATTCAAAATTCTCCTGGAGTATTTAGGAGTTCAATTTTCTAGTCAAAATCCAAGGATTTTTTTCTATATTTCAGTTTTCTAACAATACCTTATGCTAAGAAAGAAACACATGGACCAAAATGGACTCTGTATTAGGATACTAAGAACTATTTTGAAGGTAAGAATCAGTTGGCTAAAATAACAAGTACCTATTTTCAAAGTAGTGGCCAGTAGATTTCTGTTCACAAATCCAATATGTTATAAAGCATCCTTGATGGCCCAGTTTTAGGCAAAATACCCTCTAAGGAATAAGCAAATAGGGTTCTGACATTTTGGCACCATGAATCAAAAATGGGGGCTGGGGATTTAGCTCAACAGCATAGCACCTGCCTGGCAAGCACAAGGTCATGAGTTCCATTCGTGGTACTGGAAAAAAAAAAAAAAAAAACCCGAACTAAAAAATGAATCTAAAATGATGTAGCATCAGGTAATCAAGTTTGTAGTAGCACAGCAAATAAGACACAATCAATCTTGTAAGATCTATAAAAGTGAGACAGCTCTCAAAAATATGCCAATCTGGCTAAGGTTGTAGCTCAGTAGTAGAGCACTTACCTAGCACGCATGAGGCCCTAGGTTCCATCAGCAGTCACACACACACACACACACACACACACACACACACACACAAACACAGAGTATACCACCTCTTCCCTGATTCTCTCTAGCCTCTATTTCTTTGAAATTTCAATTACAAAGCTAATTCCCATGAAAAGTCCCCAAGTATTATTTGGGTAGAAACAAAAATATCTTCTTCTAGATAAGACATAACAGAGGGTTTTAGATTTATAGCTGTGTAGTGCTTGTCATCTAAAAACCCAATTGAATCTCATTACAGAGAAAAGCCAAGTGATTCATTATAGGAAACTAGTACCAAAGGAAGACAGATACCTCACAAAGGAAAATGTATATAGATAGAAAACAGTCAATCTTTTGACTGAGTCAGGCAGTTCACAAGTAAATTTTAGCCAAATATTGGACTAAGCATGACAAACAAAATTTAAGAATAAAGCCTTATAAATTTCATAGGCATAGACAGCCTTATAAGAGCAAAAGAGGAGGTAAAATAGCTAGAAAAATAATGAACAAAAGTGTTAAAGCATGATAATATGTGGTTATATTCTGTGGATCTCATGCAGTCGTTTGCTTTATCTGGAAGTTTTGAGTGTATTTTACCTTCTTCCAAAGACCATCTGCTTGTGGAAAGTTCCCAAGAATTCTCAGCTTGAGGTCTCTTGCAATAACTATATTTTAAGAATTCAAGGGTAGTTTATGCTATATAATTGAGAGGTGTGAATTGATGGAACAATTCTTTGGAGTTTCACTACTGTGCTAGATATTAATACGTCGTGTCTAGCACACTTTTCCATTAGGGTTCAAGAGATGCCTCATTTGCATTTATTACAAAAGACCAAGTCTCCAGGTTTTAAATCCAATAAGAAATAAATGCTTAGGAAAGGTTAAATTTGGGGTGATAAAGGTGGGTATGCTACATGAAGCCCCTGTATTATTTGGTGTCACTACTTGTGATACAATGAACTCCAGAATTGGAAGTGATATTACCAGATGCATGGCTTGCCTGTTAATGAAATCCAGAAAAAAACTGAGTCTCTCAGCTCAAGAGTCTCTAAGAAATTTGTCAATTTTAGTTTCAGAAATTCCATTTGTACTTTCTGTCATTCCTGAAGATTTTGTGTAATATAGACAGTGGAGTTTCTGTGTAAGCGACAGGAGTTTTATAGAACTCTTTTAACAGTCTCAGAAAGTAGACTGAGATTAGAGACGCTGGTTGGAATTCCCCAAGTAAAAACACAAAACCAAATATTAGTTTCGGTTCATAACAATCTGAAAACAGTATTTTACTTCTGTTTAGAATACAAAAAGTTCAAGAACGTCACTGTTTTCTCTGCAAGTTTGGTTTCAGCAAACAATATACTGCTTTGTTCCTGAATTTATGACTTGTTCCCTACCATTTAGAGCACGTGGGGCTACTTGGACCAGGTTTTAACCCTTCAGCTTCTGTTGTAGTTTGAGGGTTTTTGCAAGGGTAACAATATAATACAGGACACGTATTTTATAAGATTATTTATAATAGTCAACCAGAGAATCATATACAAAACAGAGTGCAGGAAATCTGTCCACACACTAAAGACCAAAGAATCCAGCTGAGGGTCTGAATCCCACAATAATGTCCTGCATGAGTGCAGTTGAAGAGCCCATAACAGTGCCTCCCACGAGTCCAACTGCAGACCTAGAGCTCATAACAATGTCTCATGCAAGCCTGTTACACAGATCTATGCTGAGAATGCCCAAAGGTCAGTGGGGGAAGCTAGAAAGTCTACGCCAGCAGGATGAAGGATCTGTGCTAGCAGGCTGAGGGAGCTGCACTGGAGCCAGGAAGCGACACAATGCTCAAAGTGAGGACCACTTCCCCAAAGTGAGCCATAGCCATTCTCAGCCACAACGAGATCCGGAGCTCCTCCTCCGATGAGAACAGCCAAGTTCATCAGGAAAGCCATCATGACAAACTCCTCCAGAAAAACCAACAGCTCCCTATAGCTGAGCAGCTCCTCACCAGCTTCCAACAGGCTCCCAACAGCCTCTCTTCAGCTTCTTTCATTCTGCCTCTCATGCTGCCAGCAACAACACTCAGGTGAGCCTCCCACACCCAGCACCGTGCTGGTTCAGTTCAGTTAGGTGTTATAAGTTGACCAGCAGTTATAAATCCATCACAGCCTCCAACCCTTCAGCTTGTACCAGGTACAGGGTTACCAGCCCATTAATCAAGGCAGCTAGGGCTGTGGCCAGAATTTCAAGGGACCAGCACTTGCCAACTAATATGCAGTATTTCAATAATGGTGATGCCATATGTACTGAGTCTGTGGTCTCACAACATTGTAGAATGAAGTTTGTGAACCAAAGGAGGAGGGTAGGGGAGATTTATTGGAAAGAAGAAGGTAGAAAAATGAGAGGGAGTGGAAAGGGGGAGGAAGAGGATAAGAAGAAGGAAGAAAGAGGAGCTGCTCCTGGATTTCCAGGAGGGGTTCTGAGTGAGCAACTGCTGAGGTTCTTTGTCAAGGATATTTTATATGGCAAAATCACAACTTAGATAGCTATGGGTCAAACTACAATCAACCTGTAGGATCACAAGTATAGTTGTTGAGCTAATATTGATCCAACAGGGAAGCAAGGCATGTAGCAAGGGTGTATGGCAAGCACCATTAACTTTAGCTTATCCGTAATCTCTAATGTAGAAAGAACAAAGGCCTTCCTGGAAAGTGATGGGAGTATCCAGATGTCCGGCTCATCACCCGCCTATGCATCCGATGCCCTATCTAGGCTCACTGGACCATGTGGTGATGACTGTAGTATAATCTCAAATGCCGTTTATCTCTAAGGAGGTTTGCAGGCCTGTCTACTCTGTCTCCATCCTGAGGTCTAGTTCTTTTCACATTCACCTCCAGCCACAATTCTGGTGTGTCTCATCTTCCGTGCGGACTCCCTCGAGGGCCCAAACCTTCTTTGACTACCTATTGATTTCTATCTAACTTAGCTGTCTATACCATTATGATCACTTGTTCAGGCAGTTAAATGCCTTGGAGTGAATTTGAATCCTGAATTGAACCTACATATGAAGCTCAGAGGAACATTTAAGGAATTTATCTGCAGTTAATCTCTTAGGTGAGAATAATTGGTACATGAAAAGACTCTCCCAGTCTCCCACCTCTTTGGAACTTTGATAGACTCCCTTAATTTTTGCAAGTCACTATTTAGATCACTGGCAGAGTAACAGATCAAGTTGGTAGCATGGGACAGGAATAACTCCATTATGCTATCATTCATAAGAAAACCATCTGCTACCTAGTATGGCTTGAAGAATATGGAGAGTCATTGTCACGAAGTCCCAAACTGAAGCAAGGTCTGGTTTTTTGTCCTGGTATCCACAAAGGGCAAGGTAGAAACACTAGCATGTCCTGCAAATAAACCGAACAACCTAAGGAATATTTCTGTTGCTTATAGCAGTTTTATGTAAATTTTATAGGTATTGTTTCATGTGTTTAGATACATTGATTGTGTTTACATTATTTTTGCAAAACATGGTCTTGGATTTGGAAAAAAAAATAGCTAGCTTTAAGAAATATTATTGGGACAGCTGATAAGATTTAAATTTTGTATCAAGGCTAAATTTCCTGACTTTGAGCATTGCCCTGTGGTTCTATTAGACAAACTGAAGTACTGGGAAAGGATTGTTAGAAACTCTCAAAGGGTTCAAGAAAAAAAATTTTCTGTGTAGGTGTGTGTATCCACATATATCTATCTGTATCTATAGACCTACATCTAGAAATAGAGATAGAGATAGAGTATAAGTATAGATATATGGAGAAGGAGAGAGAGAAAAAAATATCAAGCAAATATGCTAAATTGTAAATAATTGTTGAATCTTGGCAAATGATATGTAATGTTCACTATATTATTCTTTCAATTTTCCTATAAATTTGAAATTATAAATAAAAAGCTATAGAAATATA